CCATTGACCTTGTGGCCGGACTCTCCACCTTCCCCAACCCCCGCGGCGGTGTCGATGCCCCCATGGCCGGCATGGTCACCCCCGCCGTTCTCAAGACTCTTTACAAGTGAGAACCCAACCCCGTGGCTCGAGCAACCGTTTTGGTCGTCGTCATGGCTCATCCCTGTAATTTGTGACTCGCCGCGCTGCTACTACCACGTAGCATCACCGACACCGTGTCCAACTCCACTGGCGCCTCGCAAGCTTGCGCCGAGTTCCAGCAACAAGGTGCGATGCTCAGACAGCTAAACTTCTCGGCGTATCCTTGGTACATAAACACTGGCCGGTGTCAAGGGTGCCGTCATGATATGCGCTTGATGCTGCTTTTGGCTATTGATATGCTGTTGCGTGCACATTGATTTACCATAACCCGCCCACCGACACGCATCACTGCACCGCTCAAACACCTCAACCGGCCTCAACTACCTGCAGACTACAGCCCCGAAGATCTGGAGGCCTTCCAAAACTATTTTGGTCTGCCCATCCAGAAGGTGCGCAACGTCAGCAGCGACGGCGCTGGCATCGCTCATGACGAGGCCAACCTTGACATCCAGTGTAAGTCTCGACCCCCCCCCCCCCCCCCCCCCGTGTCCGAATCCGAGCGCCTTTTCAAAGCTGATCGCCACGCGCTCGTTCATCAAGCTGTTGTCTTTCGACGTCTCACCATGCGACGCATGGCTTGCCCATCTGACTTCTCCAAACAGACCTGATGGGTGTTGCACCGGGCATGCCCAGTGACTTTTGGATTCAGGCGGGTGAGACCTTTGACGTGCTGGCGTGGGCCACCTACGTTCTCAACACCCAAGGCACCGCCCAGGTCTGGTCCGTCAGCTACGGCGAGGACATTGAAACCGCCGTCCGTACCTTCGATGCCACTTGTACGAAGTCTGCACCTGACTCAATGTCATGAACCCGAGCTTGATCCATGCCTCTGCTGTCGGATGCCATCTCAACAATCGCTGTCGTAACTTTCAAAATTGTCTGACTCGTTGGCTTTGTGCTCTGCCTCCTCTCTGGCACCGGTAGACCCTCGACGCTTCAACACGGAGCTTCAAAAGCTGGCCACGCTCGGTCATACCATCCTCTTTGCCAGCGGTGACTCTGGTGTTTACTCCCGTAACGGTTTTGGTGCCGACTTCCGCCCCGACTTCCCCGCTTCCCTGCCTGCCGTCACTGGTACGTGGTATTGCAAGACCCTTGTTACAATTCAAACAGCCAAACAAGGATCCTGTAAAAACTTTGCACCATGCCAGACACCTCACACCCTCCTTTTGCTGCGCTGCACATTGCAGGTGTCGGCGCCACGCAGCTTGAGGGCGATGGCACGGAGAAGCAGGGCACTTCGTTCTCGGGTGGCGGTTTCTGCCTGAGCCAGTACTTCAACCGCTCGGCTGACTGCCCCTACCAGCAGGAGGCTGTTGCCTCTTTCTTTTCCGACTCCACCAACCTGCCTCCAAGCAACCTCTATGATGCCAACGGCTGCGGCTACCCTGACGTGTCAGCTCAAGGTGTCAACTTTGAGGTGGGTTGGTGGCTAAATTCGTTTTTGAAGCGCGTTTCCTTCCATCATACGCTCAAATCGACGACATGCACTCTTTTTCGTCCCGTGCATGCTGGCAGGTGTACGTTGACAAGATTCGCCAGCCCGTCTCGGGCACCTCGGCCTCCTGCCCGACGGTGGCAGCCATTGTTGCTCTTTTGAATGACCAGGTGAGACTCGAGGCCGCACTCGAAGCCGCACCCCATCGAGCAACGCACAGAAACACCCTCACGCGATAATTCGGAACTCTTGGACAATGTTTGCAGCGTCTGCAGGCCGGCAAGCCCCCCTTGGGCAACATTAACCAGCTTATCTACCAGAACCCCGGTGCGTTTAACGACATTACCGAGGGCTTCAACCACGGTAGCGGCTTCCACGGCTTCCATGCCATTGCCGGCTGGGATCCCGTGACCGGCATGGGTACCCCCAACTACCCAGCCTGGAAGAAGGCCGTGCTTGCCTAAGCACACGTTAACCCCGGTCTCAACTTGCTGCGGGCATCTCAGGCCTGTCCTTTTTCCCTCGGTATTAGTTGTGACCCCATTCCTCCAATTGATTTTGAAACCTGACGGTTGCAGCGAGAACGCGCGCATGATCTGCGCGCCGTTCGATGAAGATCAAAGAGCAGGCAGGACGTTTTGCCAATTCTACCCCCATCACAACTCCAAAAAAACTCACCTTAGCTTGTGGTGTTGTGTTTGATGTTTTTTATTTTTTTATTTTTTTCGAATTTTTTCGAATTTTTTTGGAGAGAGAGCACAGACGTCATGATTGCGGCGGTGCTTGCGCTCTCGTTGCTGGCGGCGGCCACCACGTCCGCGGCCACGACCCCCACCTCCAATAACTGTACCGAGCTCACTTTTGAGCAAACGATCGACCACTTCAACTGGGGGGCCCCGCTGGGGCAGGCTCAGACTACCTTTCAACAACGCTACTTTGTGTACGACAAGTACTACAAGCCTGGTTCCGGGGCGCTGTTCGTCTACTTTGGCAACGAGGACGACATCACCCTCTACATCAATCACACGGGCCTGATGTGGGAAAACGCCAAGGACTTTGGCGCTTACTTGATCTTCATTGAGCACCGCTACTACGGCAAATCGCAGCCCTTTTCTCCAGGCACCGCAGGATGCATGAACTGGCTGACCAGCGAGCAAGCCATGGCTGACTATGCCGTCCTCCTGCGCTGGTTCAAAGCGACCCATCAGATGGAAGATGTGCCCACCATTGGCTTTGGGGGCTCGTACGGTGGCATGTTGGCAGCGTGGTTTCGGCGCAAGTTTCCCGATGTCGTGGACGGTGTCATCTCAGCCTCAGCCCCGATTTGGGCGTTTGCCAACCTCACGCCCGCGTACGACGATGACGGCTTTGCTCAGATTGTGACCAACGATGCCACCCCTGCATCAGGCGCCGCCGCCGCCTGCGCTGCCAACTTTAAGCAAGGCCAGAAGCTCATCATCGATACAGCAAGCTCGGCGGCCGGGCTTGCCAATCTTACGAGCATCTTCCGTCTCTGCAACCCGCTGCAGTCTTTGAACGATGCTTACAGCCTTCTCTACTGGGTCCAGGAGCCCTGGAGTTACATGGCCATGGGTAATTTTCCCTACCCTTCATCCTACCTTCTTCATGGCCTGGGCATGTTACCAGCCTGGCCTGTGCGCGTTGCCTGCGAGTCGCTGGCCGATAGTTCTCTGCCCGACCAACCCCCCGATTTGCTCGACGCCATGCGCGCAGCCCTGGATATTTACTACAACTACACGTATGTACTGGGATCTCCTTTTTGCTTGAGCACGCACGCACCGGGCGCTTAGATCTCGATGGGGCGTTGACTGTTCGATGTATATCCAACATTCATGTCTATCCTCGATCGCATATGCTCACCGATAGGCATGCGGAGACTTGCTACGACCTGAGCGATGCGCCCGAAACCGCGACGCTGATGCGGCCACGCAAGGCCTTTTTGCGCCAGCAAGGGACGCTTGGCGGCCCTGAGGCCTGCACCGGTGACTGGGACTACCAGTACTGCACCGAAATGGTCATGCCTTCCACTCAAGGCACCGATAAGGACATGTTCTGGCCCTTGGAGAAATTTGATTTGGCCTCCCTCACCGCCAGTTGTCAGTCGACATGGGGCGTAAAGCCTCGACAGAACTGGGCCACAACCTACCTCGCCAGCAAGGTGCCGTACATCTCTTGGCTGGCACACCCTGCGCACCATGGACCTCGTGTTGCCTCTTTTGTTGACTGCTAGTTGCCGGCTATTCGTGATGATCCTGAGCGTGCACTTGAGCATGGCTGACCAACTGTTCCCTGCGGATACTGCCGATCCGTGCTTGTGACGGTGATGTAGGATTTGACAGACTTGACAAATGTCGTGTTTTCCAATGGCCACTATGACCCTTGGCGCGCGGGTGGTGTGGTGCAGAACGTGTCGGATAGCGTTGTTTCCATCATCATTCCAAGCGGTGCCCACCATATCGACCTCATGTTCAGGTGAAGTCTTACTACTGCTGGGCTTTTGAGGTCCTAAATGTCAAACAGCCCTGTTATCTTTATGGCTCAACTCCACTCTTTTGTCTGCCTGCGCCCACTAGTACGCCTGAGGACCCGGAAGATGTCACTGTAGCGCGAGCTTTTGAAGTGTCGCACATGCGTCGCTGGGTGGACCAGAAGCTAAAGGCGCGGCGCCATTAAGGGTCAAAAAGCTGGCCACTCCTTTCTGACCCATTGACATGAGATGAATTTAAGTCTTTGCGCCAAGCGAGCATGGTTTCCTCGCAGGCACCCTCTTCACTCAACTGCTCAACTGCGCGCCGCCTGCGTTCACACACTTGAATGCTTGCACTTGGAGAGGACGGGGAGGGAGGGGGGAGGGAGACAGACAGACAGACAGACAGAGACAGACAGACAGAGAAGGGAGAGGATGGACCCGCTCAAGTGTTGTATGTATTGATTGCTGCGCTGTGTAGCTGGGGTTTCAAGTTGATGAATATGAGATTTGTTGCATCGAGCATGGTAAATTAACTGCGCCCCAATGTCCAGCACAAGATGAATGGCTCACTCATCCATCGCTCGGCAATTCATGCAGTCTTCCAAACACTCACTGTCATACTCGCCACAACCCCGAAGCCGCTCGGGATGGTTGACACTACACACTTAATGACAGAACCGGCTTGAACGATGGCCTGGGTGCTGGCGCTCACGCGAAAGGTGATGGCGGAGGATTCCCCTTCGAAACTGTGGTCCCCAGCAGCATAAACATTATCGACGGAGATGGTTGCTACTAGACCAACACCCTGCGTAGTACCAGAGTAAGAAAACTGGCCTTGGCACGACACGCTAGCCCAGCCGTCTTGATCGACGGTGATGGTGCGTGTGGGTGTGGTGGCAACCGTCGTCAGGTCACCCGCGACGCCAAATTGGAGCAGATCATCCTTCGAGACCTGCTCCTCAAGAGTCGATAGCTGCATCTGAAGCGTAGCTTGATTATTGTCAAACAGACCGAGTTGAGCCGCGGCCGTGGACAGATGAGTTGCAGCGCTGATGGCAGACGATTGCAGGGTGACAATGGCTGAGCTCAACGTGGCAACCTCTTCCGTTTCAAGCGCATCGAGGCGGGACGCTAGTGAAGTTTGAGCTGTTCCCAGGCTCAGCTCAGTCGCCTGCATGGTAGTCGTTGTCGAGCGTACAGCCGAGATTTGCTGCAGCAGGGAACTAAGGTCGGTTCCTTCGAGCGCGTCGAGGCGCGACGCCAACAAAGCTTGCTCGGTCCCTAGGCTTGACTCGGCTTGCACGAGGGCCTGGCTGATGGTTGTGGTGAGTTGGGCAACCTGTTCAAGTAGGCTGTTGGCAGCTCGTAGATCTCGTAGATCAGCCAGAACGTCGACACCATCCACCAACACCCGCGCTGCGGGGTGCAGGGCTGACGAATTGACATGAAGATTGCCACTGTCGTCCACGCTCATGTAAGCTTCCTGCGCGTCGGCTGTGCCTCGCACGAGCAAGACCAAAAGCCACAGACCGAACGCAGCCCGAGCACGCGTCATTGCTCAAGTTGCGCCTCGCCTGCCACGATAACATTTCCAACATTACAAGCGTCACGCACAACATGGCGATGAGATCAGCAAGCCCATTCAGCACCCGAGTGTCCGTGCGGCGCGACGCAAACACATGAACGCCACCCTCACACTCACACGCACTCACGCACACACTCACTCACACACACACACACACACACACCTTTGCGCGCGCGGCGGGAAGAAATTGAGGAATTCGAGCTGACATGTGAATTCAAAAAGGTCCTTCTCAGCAACATCTGAACTCTGAACTTGTGTCGAGTTATCTTGTTTTTGCTTATTATGACTACTTCATGGATGTCTTATGCTATGGACAGCGTGCAAGGAGGAGCCAAGTGCACGACGTGCGTTGCATTGGAGGCAGACGGTGCCTACGCCTTTTTGTACACCGTTCTCTCTGGCGCTGGAAAGGAAGGATCATTCACATCGCCGCGCAGCACAGCGTAGCGACAGGGATTGTGCCATAGTAAATTCAGCGAAAACTCGGAAAAAAAAAAAATTGTCGACTTTTGTGGCATTTTGGCGGGAAAATCGAACCGTTGACGGTGAATGCAATTTTTTTCTTTTTTTTCCAGCGAGTCGGACGCCCATTGGCACGCGCAGCCTGGTGAGTCGGTCGGCGCTTATCAATGCATTTGCCTGTGAAGCCAATCTCCTCGGGTCGGTAACTACCGCAGCAGTTTGTAGGGACGGCTTTCCTTCGAAGGCTAGAACACCGCCATAGAACGACAGACGATACCGGCCGAATGGAGTTGGGTACGTAAATCCACTTAAGGGGCAGCAGGCAGAAGACCAAGGATCGGCGAATCAAGAAAGCGCATGTACTCAAAGCGGGCGCGGGTGCGGGACTTGCGCTTGCCGACCCCTGCAACACCCCATCTTCTAGATGCAGCGCAACAAGCTTCATCCCCACTTCAGCTGGTGGACATTATCGCCACTGTGACTTGGGCTAGCGGCGCAGATACGAGTGCTCGGCAGCAGACTTTACAACTGGGTCCTCAGCATTTCGCCCCGGCGGCAACCCTCTTGGAGCGGGCTCGGGTGGCCTGTCAGCAGCTGCGAGGTAGTACATGCACGACCTTTCCCAGAGTTGTTTCATTCTTGTGCAATGCTCATGTTTGCGTCTGCTCCTTCATCCCCTTCATCTCTTAGTTCCTGCTGAGGATCAGCTGCACAGCGCCGGTGTCGGCGTTGCCGGTGCTACCTACCACTGCCTCATACCCATCGAGCAAGACCTGCCCGTAAATTCCGTTTGCACGGGTGTGTGATTCCTCTTGCTAGCATCAAGTCCCTTGTGCCAAGGCCTTGAGCTCGCGACGTTGCTTACAAAAAAAAGCTCGGCCTCCCCGGTCTGCCATGCAGTGGAACTTAAAGTGTCCCCCAAGATCGGCGGTTGGCCTTCAATGCTGAAATTTGCCCTGCCACGTGTGCAAACACATTGGGCTTGGGAGCCAGCACGGCGAGTCTCTCGTCGACCGGATATTGACGAAACGCTTGCTTCCCTCTTGGAACGCCGCGACATTTGGTGCTGCGGAAATGACCAGGTCAGTGCCTGCCCGTCTCACGCCAGTCACAAGAGTCGTAGATGTGACACGCATATGCACCTGTTCAATTCTTCCGATGGTCAGCCAGACAATGAAAACAATCTCTCAAACACTGCACGCACATCCACGGCTCACACAACGTGCACACCGGCATCTTCACCTCACCTAACTGTACCGTGCCCGGCAAACGCAGGGCTACTTGATCTGCCTACCGGGTGGCACTGGTCGATCGACAAGCGAGGGTAGATGGCTCGTTTTGACGAGCACAAGCACGGCAGCACGCAACACGACTCGCTCATGGTTGTTGCCTTGCTTATGTAGACAAGCGGCTCGTGCGGGTGGGCGCAATTGTGTTGGTAGACTTGCTTGCAGGTATGTTGGCGCCAACGCAGTCAGCACTGCGCGTTGCACTCCGCTCTCTTTGATGAGAACACGAGCTCGCAACGTCACAAATTCACCGTCATCCAATCCTCCTAGACCAGCTCTTGGGCTACCGCTTTGCGTCTTAGACAGGCAACTGGCAAAGTCGCCGTGCATTGCCGACTTGATCCGTGCCATTTCGTCTTTTTTTCCTCTCCCCAGTGTGGGCCCATTCCAATCACCAGGGGCCTGAGTTTCATGGCAAAAGTCGTATTTGTTGCTATTGTTGTGGTTTTGGTTGATGGTCAAGTTGGGCTTGGCGTTCAGCCGCGGACCGTTGCCAGGCAGCCGGGGGTAGTTCGGCGTCGGACCGTGCCCGCACTAATCCTTGACTGTCTGGCTCTGTTGTGTTGAAGTACCAGAGCCCGATGGCCGTGTTGGTAGCTAGCAGCATAAATAGCATGCGGGTAATCTTCAGCGTTGCGTTGTCCTTTGGAATGCGCATGCCAGTCCAACCAGGCCACACGTGAGAGGTGAACACAAAGCCAGGGGTACACAAGCACGCAATTTACACCATCAACGACACGACTCCCACGGTTACACACCTTGCCCTCGTACTGCGGGGGATCTGGTTCAAAGACAATCTGGGGTCGTTGTGACTCGAGTTCGCCGGTCTCTGCCACTGGATTTGCGTCACGGGGAACAACTTGCTGCTCTGTCTCTGCAGTCCTTGACTGTTTACCTGGGCTCGCCCGTGCTGGTGCATTGGGTCGCGGGGGCGGCGGACCTGCACGCGCATATCCGCGCCGAGCCGCCACAGCCCACCATCGCGCCACCAGGCGCTGTGCCATCTTGTGTGTGCGTGTGAGGAGAATGTGCTTTGCGGAAGTGTACCAAACGCTAAACTTTGCAACCTTTGAGCAAGACCTTGCTTGCTATTTTAACATTTAGCTCTCTTTTTTTAAAATTCGAGGTGGGCAGCCAGGCAGGCAAGAACGGAGCCAAGGGGTCATGGTCATGGTCAACACAGCAGTCGTTTACAGCGAGACTGTCATGGAAAAGAGGCGGTGGGGGTGGGGAGGCTACTGTTGCTGAATGACGAGTAGTGCCGCTGAGGCATCCCAGGTCAAATTACATGCGCCGCGCTGAATTTGTTCAAGCTCGGCATGAAGCAGCTCACGGCGCCAGCCTTGGTCCAGCACTGACGGGAGACCGACCATGAAGCGCGAAAAATCCTGTTGCCAACCATCAATGAGGCTGGTGAGATGGCGAACAGTCATGGGCTGGGTGCAGGATCATGTGACCAAAGAGCATGCTTCCTACGTTGGTCAAGAGGGCATCGGGAGACATGCCCATTTGCAGAGCCTTGGAGGCCAGGAAGGCGCGCGTCAGCGCCACAATGACGTCATCTTTGACGGGCTATGTTGAATCAGGATATTTATGAGGCCTTTGACAAGGCTGCGGTCACCCAAGGGTGCAGCTTGTGCAGAGCGCCTGTACCTCATTTGTGAAAATTGCTCGAGGTGGCAGCTCGGGAGCTTCTTCCTCGGCCGCCCGTTGCACGAGGTTCAAAATGTCCGATGCATTGTGCCTAATGTCAAGTCCAAACAACCAACCAACAGTCAGCTGGGGGCCCGGGCAAGCACTGAGGATCCGAGACGATGGAGTTGAGCAATACAGAAGGAGAGAACTGTACTTGATAAACGGCATTTTAACGCCTTGGAAGGTCATGATTTGTTCGGTCGTTGATGGCTACAGCCCCGCATCCACATCCCCGTCCGCGATTGGTCCACAAGTTGATGAGAGCAGTGACTCGCCTGTGTTTGGTCGCAGTTCTGGCGCCTGCGTTTGGTCTCAATTATGGGTCTAGTAATCATGCTCAAACGGGCGAGATACACACCTGAGCAATGGCAATGGAAAGCAGGACGTCGTCCCGAACCACAATAGGGGTGGCCACATTTCGAGCTCGAGCCGTTTGCTGCAGTTCGTGCGAGCCACGTTGCGACCACCAGTCAGTTTGGCCATCAGATGGCAATCACCTTAGCCGCCAGTCGGGCAGCATCAAGCTCTGGCACATCCCCTACCTCTCGCCAGGCGACCAAGGCCCGCAAAATGGCTCGGGCTGTTGGAAGCTCCTGTAAAAGCCAGGCCAGCGTGAGCACGGCAACAAAGGGTTTGGTCACGCAAAGCTCCTCTGTATGTTTATAGACTCAGAAAATCTTACCCGGACTTTGTTGAGGCGTCGGAAATCGAGCCACAGATCCTCGTCGGCGGGGGTGGGGCGGGGCGTCAGCAGCGTGCGCATGTCTTCCTGAAACCAGGCCTCAACACCCCGTGCTGAAAGAGCGTCCTGGAGGCGATGGCGCATCTGCAGAGTGCGGAATGGTTGGTTGTGTGAGTGAGCAGATGCTGTTTACCCGACGTGGCGTAGGACGTTGTACCTCGATGAGATGTTCAACGTCGCTGATGGCGTAAAGTAGCTGTTCGTCATTGAGGGGACGAACACGCCAGTCACTCAGGGCTTGACCCTTGTCCATCTACCCGTATGGTCCCATATGTCAGAGGCTTGAACATGCAAAGAGGGGGCCAGGAACAGACGTGTGCGTGCGCACGCGCGAGCATGCGTGTGTGCTAGCTCGAAACTTTGGCATGCGTGACTCGCAGCTCCTTGTTTTTAAGGACGGCGAATGGGGACAATGTGCACGTTTGTGTTGAAACGGACCTTGACTTCTGGAAACATGTGCGTCACCAAGTCTGCAAGACCAATTGTGTTCCTAATTCCCAGCAGGTTGGCAGCGACCTGGGGGTTGCGGATGAACAGCGTGGCGTTTATGAGGTAAGCAAGCTGAAGGAGAATGCAAGGGCAGCGACTGTCAGACCTGAGTGTCAAAGACGCGCTCCAGGGGGGCTTCATTCACTTCTGTCAGCAGGTCCAAGTCAGTCTGCCCGCTGGTGGTAGTGAGAAAGAATGCAGAAAGGAGAAGTGGCGTGAGCTCTTCAAGTCATTGTTCAAGATGTGCAGATCATTGCGTGGTTGGGGCGAGGGTAGCCGACTCTACCTGTGAAGAATAATTTCCTTCTGGGCTAACACACGCGTCAGCTCCTGCATTCATTCACAGCATCAAGTGGCGAGGGTCAGCAGAAGATAAAGAATGAAAAAAAAAAAAAAAAAAATTAAGTAAAGAAGCAGGAAAGCATACGGCGATGCACAGCGAAAACACCGTTGGCGGAGCCTCTGGTGGCTGACCTTGAGTTGCGCCTTGGTGTAGGCAGCACAGTCAACGGCAGCCAGGGTCGTTTCGGTGCCAATTTGGAGCACTTCAAGCTATCGCAAGTCACCGGAGTGTAGCAGTTCAGAGACGACAGACAATAAGACACCTCGTTCATCAAGGCGCCGGCTCATGGCGCAGCGAATGAGGATGAAGAGGAGGATGCAGGAGACGCATCAAGACACGGGCGAAAATCAAAGCCACATGACCCCCTTGGGTGAACGGAGGGTTGGAATAACGAGTCGTACTTTGGGCCGATACATGGGAAAGTGAACAAATTCCGTGTCGACGGCTACAACGTCTGGGGCGGCTGCCACCTCGTCCTGAGCAGGCCGGGGGGGGGGCAGCATACTCGTAAGACAAGGGGGCTTCGAGATTGTGACACCGGCAATGCTTGAAGGATCAAGAAGCGCTGGCGCACGGACTGTACCAACCATGACAATTTGAAGGTGCTCCGGGCTGCTGGCATAGAGTCGCTGGCGGCCGTCCTCAAGCGGCGCGAGGAAGCGAGAGGGCATGAGCTTTTGCCGGAGGGCAAAGGTGGGACTCGTGCTCATGCTTTCGCTGCCAGGGTCGCTGCTCGTTGATGTGGCTTGTTGGTGCTGCTGAGATACGCGTGACAAAGCACGGCCCCGAGCAATAGCTCGGAGCTGGGGCGCCACAGCCCCTCTTGCGCGCAGCAGCATGGCCAGCCAATTGCAATCACCAGCCCACCAGCAGCGATCTCAGACGCAACAGCGATGAAAGACCCCCAAAAATGGAAAAAAAAGTCGTTAACACCAAGAGCTTGTTATCCAAGCTATGCACCTTTGCACTGCCCAGAACAACTGGTCGCCCTGATTCACTCTAAGCAAGAGCACCAAAGCACCACCACTGCCACCAAGAGGTACCCGCTGCCGTTCATTCGCAAAATGCGCGCGCAACGTGGTCGCGACAGAGAGAGAGAGAGAGAGCGAGAGAGAGAGAGATTTGAGCGAGAATGTCAGCATATTTAGTTGTCAGATGATAGTGTCAGATTATTCACAGACGCTTCAACAGAATCATCACAAATTAGCAAATTGGATGCATTAAATAACACTCAAAAGTTGAATAAAACCTCAATAAGCCATCGGTTCTATGCATTAAATCAATTGTCAGACAAATGTGGTATCTTTGAAGAGGTTTGAATAAACTTTTGGCATTCAGCCAGAGATGGTCGGTCAAGGCGCTCTTCACACACAAAAAATACAATTGCTATGAGAGATTGAGGCGAAATCATGTTTACTATAAGAGGTTTGTCAAGCCATGGGCAAGGTCATTCTTGTGCCGAGTTGGCTTCTTCTTCTGAAGTTTTTATTAATTTTTTTTTATTTTTCCATTTGGCAGCGGGTGGGAGGTGGCGGAGATTGAGCGGTCGAGTGTGAGCAGACTGGGCTGTTTGATCACTGTGGGGTGCGTGGTGGCGACCCGTTGCACGCTCCTGTGTCACGCTTCTGTGTTGCTGCGAGTGTCGCGGGTTTCGGTGTCGAAGTTGCCTGGTTGTTGAGCGCTTGGAAAAGACGATACCATTGATCATCGACGTCATGGCTCATGGGGGCGGCAATGAAGCGGAGGCCGGCAACTACGTGGAGCTGAGTCGCATTGGTGAGGAGGACCCGTACATGGAGGTCCACGGCTCTGTGCCTTTGTTGGGGGCCGAGGTTGAGAGCGATGACGATGCTCCCTTTGGGTATGCTGCCGCTGGTGTTCCCGAGCTGGATGGCAACGATGATTTGATGGGTGGGGCAAGTGGAGGTCGTCCCAACCTGGCCCTCCACCATGGCACCAATTCCATGTGGGCCACCGCCAGTACCATCGTCTCCAACAGTGCGTTTTAGTGAGCCCTCCCCTACGTCCGTCTCGCTGCGAGCAGTGCATTGGCTCTGTTTCATCATGCCATCATGGTGCCCCGGCTTCTTCTGCCGTGTTGCTGCCTCTCATGCGATGCATCTTTCCTGTGCTCCGCTACTTGCCTTTTTACAGTGATTGGCGTGGGCGTGTTGGGCTTGCCAGCTGCTCTGGGCGCCTTGGGATGGCCCTTGTTTATTATAATTCTTATTGTCATGACAGTCCTTAGCTCTTATTCGGCTCTCATCCTTGGTAAGCTTGCGGCTGGTATCTTGTTCTTCTCGCCCATCGATGGGCCGACACTCCATTGCATAGCTCATCCTCAACGCCCAATTCATCATCAGGGTGGCTCAAAGGGACGGTAACATCACTGCGTGGGTATCCTGACTTGGCTCAGGATGCGGCCAAGTCCCACGGACCCAAACACGCCAAGTTTTTTCGCCGAATCACCCAGTGCATTCTTTTTGCTTATCTACAGGGCGCGTGCACCCTCTACCTCATCACCATGAAGGTACGAGCCCTGCTTTGTTTACTCGCGTGTCCGCTTCCTGCCTGCCATCCTTTTTTTTTTAATCGTACACAGCCCGTAAAACCCACGCGCGGCTCAAAATGACAACGTTCGACATGCACTGGTAGTTGGCTCTGGAGACGGTGTTTGAGCGTTGCCCGGCGGACCAGGGTCCGCCCAAGCTGACGCCGCACGGCGCCCAGTGCGAGCGTCCCGCCTGCTCGCACCGCGGTGTTGTGGATCTGCCAGATAGCATCTGGCTCTTGGTCGCGGTCGTCATTCTCTTCCCTTTTGTGCACTACCGTGACCTCTCGCGCAGCTCCTGGCTCTCCTTTGTGGGTGTGGGCACCATCTTGATTGTGGACGTGGTCATTATGATCCGTTGCATCCAAAAAATTGCGTCCGACGACGCGCCCAACTTTGACCGCGAGTGGGACACGCGCAGCGTTGTGAATGCCCTCACCACCATGGTGTTTGCGTTTGGAGGCCACGCGCTCATCCCGGACATTTTGTCGGAAATGCGTTTTCCCAAAGACTTTAGCCTCGCTGTCTACTGGTCCCAGGTGCGTTTGCTCCGTCGGTGGCCTAATCGTCATATATGACCATCATGGCATAGCGTGGTCAGGCTCTTGTTGCCATCACCGAAAAAAAAAGACTCACCGCGTGTCACGTACAAAATCAGGGATTCATGTTTGTTAATTATCTGCTGGTTGGCTGCCTGGGCTATGCGGCCTATGGTGCGGACGTTCAGTCGCCCATCACCTTGAGCCTTCCCCGTGATGGGGTCGACATTTTCAACAACATTTGTCTCCTTCTCCACGTGGTTGGTACTTGCCGTTTCTCGTTGCGTGGTTGCGCCTCAAATGGCATCATCGACGGGCGCTGTTATCGTGGACTCACGCTTTGTTTGTGATTGGCCACGCGTGGTGCCACCCTGACAGGGCGTAGCATATTGCATCAACTCGACGGTGTTTGTGCGCAACATCTGTGACACCATTTGGCCAGGCTTCTTGTCCGAGCCCCACCTGGAACGGACCAAGCTGCAGCGGTGGAGCGCCTTGTCGGCGGGCGTGCTGCTGCTCAGCTTTTTCATCTCAGTCATCCTGCCCTACTTTTCAGACCTGATGGATGTCAATTCGGCCATCAGCCTCTTTGCCCTCTCCATCTGGCTCCCCGCCACACTCTTGATCATGAGCCAGCTGAATCGCATGACAGTCTGGCTCATCATGTTCAACGCGCTGTTAGTTCTCTTGGGGGTGGTGGGCTCGCTGATGGGTCTTTGGGCGGCCATGGATGACCTGGTCGACAAGCTCGGCCACTGTCGCATCAACTTTGGCTATTGAAAGCTCCACTCGGAGGTTGGCCTCGTTCAAGTAAAGAGTGGTGGAAAGTGTCTCAGATCATAGCCCGGGGTGCCAAGCATCCCGTTGCGAGTGCGGCTTGTGGGGTCGCGCACATCGATGAGTGATTGACGTGCATGCATGAGAATAATTGATAAAAATCGAAATTCAGAAACCTATCTTTCCCATTATTCTTACGCGCTGGTGTCTGTGCGTCGGCACACGCCGGCGCAACCTCCGTTGAACCGGTTGACACGACCTGATCAAGCCTTGGGCAGCGAAGGCTGGCTAGCCTCTGGCTTTGTGGTGGCTGCGGCCGCATCGATCGCAGAAAAGTGCATAAGGGCGTTGTGCAGCTGGGGACGCACGGCGTGGTCCATCACCTCATCAACGAGCCTATGAAAACCAAATGGTCAGAATCACCGGCGGTTGAGGGCAGTTTCAGAAGCGCAGCTCATCATGTAGATCGAGATTCCACATACGTGTCGATGGGCTTGATAATAAGGGGAATAGCGGCCAGGCCGACAATGGTGGGGATCCATGCGCCAGCAGGGTGTGCAACGCGCTGCACAAAGCCAGGCCATAGGCAAAAGGGAGAAGCGAGAGTAGGAGGGTGAGAAAGGTCGGAAAGTGTCGGACGGTCCCGGCGGGCTAGGCACACACTTTGGTCAAGAGTCGGGTGCCGGCAACAATGCGATTGATGGCCAAGCCAGGCAACGCGACTGAGGCAAGCATACGTGTCAGGCAAGGGTGCAATCATGAGGTAGAGGCGGAATCTGACGCGAGGCAGCCAAAAGGTAGCTGAGATTGGTGCGGCTGGAGCTCACCTGAAGCAAGGCCCTGCCAAAGCGTGGTGTCGACCACGGCACCCGTAGCCGCGACAGCGGGGGTGTAAGGCACGTGTTCCTGATGCGCGTGCTGTGGGCTCGCATCGGGGTGGTGAGCAGGCGGTTCGGGTGGGACCTCAAGGCTGTGGGGCAGAGCTGGGCCTACGTGATAGAAGTGGAAGCCCTTGTGCTGGGCATCGCCGAGCACATAGGCAATGCTGGCTACATAGCTGCCAAGATAGCCCCAGCGCGGAATGAATCGAGCAAAGGCTTCACCAACTAGGGCGCAGGCAAAACCAGCAGTGCAGGTGAGAGAGTGAGAGAGTGAGAGAGTGAGAGAGTGAGAGAGTGAGAGTGTGAGAGAGCGAGAGAGTGAGAGAGTGAGAGAGTGAGAGAGAGGGGGGGGGGTAGGCTCTACTCTGTGGTTGTGGTCGTGGTGGTGTTTGTCAAGAGCGCCCCCAACACACACACACGCACACGCGCGCGCGCGCAGATATGTGCTTACCTTCATTGCAGTAGCCCATGTATCGTAGGGCCGAGGCTCGGAAGGGGTCATCATCCGTCAAATCTGGGCCGTTGAGCGTCATGTTTGCTGAATTTGCAGGTCAGAGCGACTCGATGCGCACGTGGGTTCGAGTTGTCCTTGCTCTTAACTGCTGACACGGTAACGCACACAGGGCAACCGGACACGAGTGAGGAGCCAAACATGACATGTCAACTCAAGAGGCCAACCCATCGTCATGCCACGGCAGGGGGCACCCAGAGGAAGAGTTTTACACAGGGATCCAGGGCACCGGGGATGCCGGGCGGGGGTGATGTGAGCACACACACACACACTCGAAAGAGAGAGGTTAATATGAAATGACCGCCGGCTATGCTTCATCTTCTTATACTTCTTCGATATATTTCATCACTATGTCGACGTTAATATCTTCAAAAACCTAACAACCTTCTACATCATCTATCATCTGCTGTAACGTCATGAAATACTTTCTTCGCAAAGGGCACAGCGAGATGAAATCACCAGTAAGGTTAAAATGAAAATAAAAGTAAAATACTAATATGGACCTTCCAACTCGAAACTTGCGGCCACACACACACACACACACCGCGCGGCGACGATCACGTCTTGCTGGAGAAGCCAATAGCTCATCCGAGTCTTCCTGCTTGCTCCTCTGCATGCGCCTCCTCATCTCGATCGTCTCATCACCCCCGCGCTCATCGTACATCCTGATGTGCTACTACTACACGACGACGCCGATGACGGCGATACAATCAATGCAAGACTTAAAGAGAGCCTCAGATGGTATTGTTTTCTTGCATGCAAGCAACCATTGACGCTCAAGGTGGCGGTGCCCTCAACGTGCGTTTGGTGCCTGCTCAACTCGGTCTTTCCTGTGCTCGTTTACATGCGGATGTGTTATAATACAAGTCTGTACACGCGCACAGAATTGTGCTGATGCAAAGAGGGTGGTCGGGTCGCGGCGCAACCAATCGGGAACCGTCCCCATTTTCATTCCGTTGACACGCAACGACACCACCCGCTCCATTGCCGCCTCCTGTTCAAATCAACCGTCAGTCGCCACTTTCTCGAATTATTCGTCGTTTTTGACGTGATACAACCGCCAACTGCCATCTCCGCTGCCAGCCCCGCCGTCAAACCTTCCAGATCACTCTGCATCTTAAAAAAAAGGGGAAAAGAATTAGTAGTAGCTCATGCTGGCTTGAGGCTCGGGAGGCATGGCTACGTCCCCGTTGCCCTTGGGCCAGGGCGCCTGGTCTTCGCTGCCAGCGCCTTCAAGCCTCGTTCGACATGGTATCCCGAAGCGTGAGTTGCAACATTCACCGTTCATTCTCGTGGCTTCATGCCTTTTGCAGATGTGTCTTGCCTTGCTCACACCGTTTTTTTTTTCGTTTGGTTCTATGCCTGTCGCTGACATCCTTAGTCATCCTGCACCACCCGGTGCCTGCTAATCTTCCTCACGGCTGGGACTGTCGCGTTGCACCAGATGGCCATGTTTTTTATGTGGACCATGTCAACAAGGTATGCTTCACTCCCCAACAAATGTCCAGTGTTGCATGCATGTTTACGACCTGAATGAAGCACTCGGACTTTGGCTTCCATGGCTGTCACCTTGAATCTCACATGTATCTCTCACCTTTCTCCCGGCTCCCCCCCCTCGTGCCAGGTAACGCAGTGGTCGCCGCCCGGCGTGACTAGCCAGGTGGCGTCGGCCACCGCGTCCACCCCCACGCTCTCCTCATTCAAGTCACAAGACCCCACCACAATTTCGGCAACAGCACACACATTGCCAGAGCCTGACCCCTTTGCTCCGCTCAGCCTCGAAGCTGCCTCCCACAAGAAAAATGGTTACCAGGCACAGAAAGCCCCCTCGCCTCATCATGGCAAGCTGGACACGTCTCTGCCGCAGGACCCGTTTGATTTTGAACCGCAATTGGCCACCGCCCACCTCCCGTCCCGCCGCTTCCTCTCCCCCACAAATGTGATGGACCTCGTCTCGCCCCAGACCATGGACGCCATTGAACGCTATGCCGTATCACTGCGTGCCCTCGAACCACCGTGCCAAGACGTCGAGTACGACTTTGACCCCATCGACCTCCCGCTGTCCTCACGGGCTGCTCGCCAAGTATCACCTACTGGGCAAACCGCCATTCTCTACCAGTACACCATGCCCGTCCAAGCCAAGCCTTCGAAAGCTCCAGCCACCCGTCGATTCCTGAGCCTGAGCATGCCGACTTCGCCCATGCTTGAGGCCCAATCGTGTGCAACACACCAGACTCCATCGCCGGCTCAACACCCGCGTCATTCCAAGTCTCTGGATATTGTCAAAGCGGCCAATTGCAAGGCGCCAACTCCTACACCATCTCGCATCAAGCCTGATGTGTTTGCTTTTGATGACCTTCCTCTCGCCTCTGCCGCCGCTTCGCCGGTACCTTCAAGCTGCGAGCTCACTGCGCAGAATGACCCTCTGGCCAATCTTGGAACACCACCCCCTACTAGTACCAAAGTCACACGCGTCCCTCCTTCATCCCGTCGTCATTTAGTCTCAAGTCCACATGAGGGCGGCTCACGGGAGCAGCACCTACTGCAGCGACGCCTGGGCTGCAAGCGACCATCCTTATCTGCCGAATCTATGTTTGATCCTTTTGATGCCAGTCTGATGGAGACCAAGGCCATTACCCCATCCAAGTCAGCACGTAGTCACTGTGTAGGAGCGCTTTCCTTCATGGAGGCAACCCCAAGTCGTCCCACTGGTCAGCTGCATCCTGGTCTCCCCAACTCTCTTTCGCCCCATACCAGAATGCTTCGCAGTGCCATACCTCCATCACCCATCGGCCTGAGCACGGCCCCGCGACGCTTGGCGTCTGCCAAACGCTCCCTGCTGGCCTGAGTGAGCTAGCCATGCGCCAAGCATCTTCTTTGGCCGCCACATTGAGAATTTGCAGTCGTTGTGGACTTGTGCGCGAGCAGTTCTGGTTTGCTGCCACCCCCTCTTGCTGCCTGGTTCCTTCTAGAATCTTGAGTGCCCTTTACGTACTTTCCCTTGTTATTCGACTCTGCATGCCACCCGATCATACATCCGGATTATTATTGCCCTTTTGTGTTTTTTGTGTGTCTTTGTCGCACTCAGGGCGCGGTTTGCTGTTCATTATACTCTCCTTTGCTGTAGCCTTGTTTAAGGTTGTATCGGTGTAATTCGATTCTCCAAACAAATTGAAGCAGAAAGAACAAAATTCTCTAGGTCCTGACAGGGCAGCAATCGTCAAAGCAGTCGAACTGGCAGTATAGGCCCCGTTCAACAGGGCATGGCACGCCGGCCCAAATCAGTGAGGCAGCTATAGCACGTACCCCTTACTCCTCACTCTGACGCTGGCCAATATGACAAAACACGCCACCAAAAGCCTCAGGTGATTGAAATGAAGGCAGGGTGGGCAGGAGTTGGTCCGACGTTAGCCTCGGCGATGACTGTGAAGACTCTGGAGGCGCTCACAGCTTGGCAGCTTGCGATCTTTGATGACATCGATATCGTCACTGCTCTTCCCTTGCCATTGAGCTCGCCGCAAAGATTCCATTTTGTCTCGTTTCTGGACAGCACATTCGTTATCCAAGGTTCGAAGTAATGTTTGTAGGACCGTGACCTCGAGTTGCCGTATCCGCCGACGACCATGAGGTGTATCTGGATCGTTCTCCTGTACAAATTGCTGAGTTACAAAGTATTTCACGTCGGGATCAACACCCAGCTCACGCGGGACGATGTAGGGTCTAAACATCGAGTGAAACGGCACGTAACCACTTAGTAAAGTCTCGCAGTGCAACAACAAGGGCCAATCCATCCAGGCTCAGCTCGGCCAACAAGGCCGACAATCATGACGTACGAGGATTGGCGTAGAGAGAAGACTGGCTCTTGTGGGGTAAAAAAGGTGGGAAGCACCATGGTGATAAAGACAACTAGCATCATGAGTAGCATTTGGGCCCGTCCATCGGCAGCTGGCGCCTGGTCCTCATCCGTTGCCTACAGGATTCGAGCAGTCGAGCAGGACAGGAGGGCGGGGCAAACGATGGAAGCGATGGTCAGGCGACGAGGCTCGTTTGTCTGTCTGTTGATGGGCCAAGCGAGGGACGGAAGAATTGACAGAAATACGGACATGGCGTGCACGCGCGCGTTGGTATCGTCGGCGCGGGTAGGGGCCGCCGGGTCCAAAGTGCATGCCAACTGCAAGTGCAGCATGGTGAGGGGGGTCGTTGCAATACCAGCAATGCCAAAGAAGGGCAGCGGGCGAAAAGCCCGATGAAAAAGCAAGACAATAATATAGCCTTGTTCAATCATGAAGCGAGCCCTTGGCGCAAGACGTACACTCTGAGCCAAACATTTGCGCAAAAAGCTCTTCAGGCGTCATGGGCCGGAAGGGGCCTTGGCCCGGGCGCGAAGGACTGGCGGCCGGCGCGTCTTCACCCGTAAGTTCATAGTGTCGGCGCTTTTGTGGGTCTGATAGCACATCGTAGGCCTTGCTTACGGCTACCCGGGGCAACGCCAGGGAGATGTGTGAGCCTGTACAATACACGCGGGGCTGGTGCCGTACAGCGCAGGCCACCTCAAAGCGTTTGGCTGGCATGAGGTCATACCCTTAAAAGCCTCATCGGCACCAGGGGCCTGGTTCTTGTCCGGGTGAAGTTGCAGAGCAAGCTTGCGGTAGGCGCGTTTGATTACGGTGGCTTCAGCCGTGCGCTGCACGCTGAGGACCTCGTAGTGTGTCTTGGCGCGCAGAATCCTGGATGAAGACGAGCGCAGGGTCGGCCAATGGCAGTTTGTGAGGGATCGGGCAAGAGCAAGAACAGAGGGTCAGAGGGGGGCAGGGTATCGATGAAAGGATCGCGTACTTGGCTGCTGCATCGCGCTGCGCTGGTGTCCAGTTTTTAGGCGCACTACAGTGAAAAGGGAGGAAAACAGTCATCGTGAGGCGACAGGCTGTTTTCTTGAGAAGTCAGGTCTAGCTCTGTGATAGGGAGTGGGGTGGTCGTACGCAGCAGTGGCAGCGGCGGTAGTAGCAGGCTTTTTGGATGCTTGGCGGTTGCGCATGTTACTTGAAGCAGCAGGGCTTGCCGTTGAGGCAGATGCAGGCTGCGGCTCGGGGCTGGGCGTGGGGTCGGTCATTTTTTTCTCGATCAAATTAATAAGACCTACATCGCCACGAGCAACGAACACGACCAAAGCAAAAGCAAAAGGCAGTCATGTAAATAAGGGGGGCGGAGTCCAAGGCATGGGCCAACGTGCTGGCGGGGTCGGTGTGAGAAGCGGGCCGGGCAAGCGCACGTAGGCGCGTCGATCCGGGCGCGGACCTTTGGCGGTTGTTGAAGGAAACAGGTGCTCCGACTTTTTGGCAAATTTGAGCGCACGCTCGAGCTCGCCCGACTTGAGATACTGCACCAAGGGTGCCATACAAATCCGAGTGGTAGTTGTACGCAGCGCAGCGTTACCAGCGAGACGGCAGACCGCGTGAGGACAAGCAATGGCGGCACGAGATGGCATCAAGGCACCAAGAGGCGAGTGGACGCGGGACAAATGACAGTTGGAAGAGGCAAAGGCCGCCCAGGCGAGCAAAAGAATCACGCTGGCTGACACGTCAGGTAGAGGATGACGTGCCAGCACGGGACGAGTCACAACTCAATCGGGCGGGAGGTTGCCACGTAAACCGAACGGGCGAGAACCGCACCTGACGGGCGCGAGCCACACACTTGTCGGCTTCACCACGATTGCTCTCCATAGTGCCGATGCCGTGTGCCTGCCCCACTCTAAAGTGACACCAGGCACACCGCTCTGCATTCAACCAGCAGGACCAACACCCTCCCCTGTCCGCTTACTGGCGTCCCAAGTCCACCAGCGCCGTGCCGCTGCCGTTCCCTCTCTCTCTCTCTCTCTCTCTCTCTCTCTGTATCTCTTGAAGAAGAGAGAGAAAAGAATAAAGTTGCCAACGTTAACAGGTAGCAGCTACCAACTGTAAATCTGACAATTCATGACCACGCACTTTCTCTCTTTTTCTGTGTGTGTGTCTGTTTTTATGCTCTGTGCTTATGTCTGTCTCTCTTTTCCCGACAACTTTAGCTGGAAAGTCGGACGTTGCACGTCAAAATCCCAAGAACAGCTGTTGTTGAATCATGTTGTCATTTCGTGTTGCGTTGCTTTTGTCGGATTTGTCTGTGTGTGTGTGTGTGCACACGAGAGAGAGAGAGTGTGTGTGTAAGTCAAAGAGTTGGAGGCAGATGATGAAGCCTGATGCCGGATGGCAGTGGCAGTGGCAGCGGCGGTCGCTGATCGTGCCTGCTGCTGGTCGGTGGCTGTTGGGGGGAGGGTGGAGTGAAGGTGGCCAATTATATAGCGTCCCGGTGTGGATGGAAAGGTGATCAGCAGACTCATGCTGGATGTGAATGTAGATCTGTCAACGGGAGTCACGGGAGAGCGCCGTATGATCGCGGTGAGAGCACGCGCGCGCCACAGATCTCAACCGTTGGTGTTGCGAGTCGGGCCAGGGGGATAGGAACCTGTGCCCCCTTCTTGCTTTGGTCTCTTCCTCTCTCTCTCTCTCTACATCGCTCTCTTAGCTGGTCGTTGTCGGTGCGTGAGGCACTCATCATCTGGTTTGCTCGCCTTTGCACTTTGCTGCATGTGCCAGCCGTTTGAGCATTCGTCCACCAGTAGCCTCGGGTTTACGACCTTCAACCATGAGTACGTCCGGCTAGCTGGAGACAGCAGCCAACGCCTTTATCCGATGCCTGGGTTCATGGCCTGTCGCAAAGTGCCTCGGAATGCTCACTCGACTCGGGTTTGCCGTTTACGCGCTCGGGTCTTTGC